TTTGTTATATCCCCTCTATGGAAGTGGGGGACGCACCATTTGTATTTGCACCTTCCCCATGCATTTCCCGGTGAAAGAATGGAGGGCCATTGCCTAAGCTCCCGTCCCTAGGGCCAACCTAAGGGGGCTGCATGTTGGTTTGAAGGTGTTGCCCCCGGAAAGTTTCCCCTGACCAACTTCCCCAGAATTAGCTCCCCTTTTTGCTTTTTTGCTTTTTTGGGGTTCCCTTTGCTTTCCACTAACCAGGCAAAAAACATTTTTTTTTGCTGGGGTCCTAATTCCAGCCAATCTGAATGCAAGGCTCGGATTCAGAACCCTGAATTACCAGATGAGCAGATTTGATTTTGCTTGGTATTTGGACAGAACAGAGTGCCGACCGAGAATTTACAAACCCCTCGATTTCGATTGGGGCGCTGTCTCAAATTTATGAAGGACTCCAGCACTTTGTCGGGGCAACAAAAACAGCGTGAGCTGATTGATCAATCCCGGGTTGGCATGAAACTTGTTGCGGAGTCCTTTTTTATGGGAGGTAAATACTGGTGGTTAATTTAACCCCCCATTGTTTTGATGGGTAGTTCGAACCCCAGGGTCAGGGCGACAGGACGTCGCCTCTTGCCAGCACGGCGACAGCCCCGGCGCCGGCGGAGACGACAGCAGCGGCGCCGGCGGAGGATACCGCCAGCAGTCGGACAGGAATTGAATTCTGGGCATGTTGCGAAAGAGTTGTTTGTTTTTCTTGTTCTTTTTGCACATAGTAAAATCGTGGCGTTTATTCGTAGTATGATTGTGATGTTTGTTTTTGTTTCTCTTTTTGCGAACTCTCAAATTGCAGTAGTCAACCGGGGTGATCAACTGGTATCAGTATCATGTAATGTCAGCATAGCAGCTCCCTCAATTCACTAATGGTTTGACCTTCAATATATGATTAAATTGCAATGCTCGTTCCAACGATAGGTCCTGTTGGATTCCATTGGAACAGCAAGATGGTGTGCATGTTCGGTTTCAGTGGTATTTAGGTCAAGGCACACGTTTGGTCGGGGTCGGTTTTATTCCAATTCTGGGACGGCATAGTTGGGGTCCATTTCCACTGGTCCCGCCGCTCGGAATGTCGACCCCGTGGGGTAGATCGGGATGCAACTCCTCCAAAGTGACTTGGATGGGTTGCTTCCCCTATGATCCAGGATGCCGTTGCTTCATTTTTTGGAGGGCCCGCCCTCGTGTCACAAATTCGATGTGAAGGCCACGTGTTGCCTTTTGCCCTTTGTAAACCGTGGTTGCACCATGTTTAGCTGCTTCCTAGGGGCCAAAGATGGCAAGAAAAGGCACGGTATCTTTTGTCGTGGGCGTTGGCCAGTACCAACATAGTTGCCTTCCTCTGGCCACTGATCAGGTTGGCATCTGTCAAAAGGGATGCCTAGGCCTCCTAGTTACCACAGCTGTTCTTGGTTTCCTCTTTGCAACTTGGTGGTTTCCCTTGGCAAAGCCTGGCAACTGGAAGCACTGACCTTCACTTCTGGAGACACTCCTGCCCTTGAAGTCCTGAATCAGGTCAATTTCGAGTGGTTTGCATTGGTGGCATAGTCTCTAAATCGAGGCACCCCCCAAATGGTTGGTTTCCTCTTGGTGTCCCGCAAAAACCGACCCAAAAAGGGCGCCCTCAACAAAAAGGCCGCGTCCACATGCAGAGGGGCTTCTTTTTGGTTTCCGTACAAGCCGACCCAAAACGGGTGCGTCCACATCTGCACAGAGCGAGAACCTCAGCTCTAGGGATTGATTCCCCATTCTTTTCAACCATCGTTCTTTTTAACAACCGATCGCCGTTTGCCTGAGTTTCTGAAGGTTTTCTAGAAAGATCCGGATTCCTGGAAAGAATGGAAATGGAAGATACTCCTAGAGAATTTGGGAAATCCACAATGACAACCATTTCCCAATGACAGGTAGCTTGGCAGAACATTCCTGGAAAGAATGGAAATGGAAGTTCCACCCCTAGCCCTCAGCGAGAGAATGGCAGGAGCCGGGCTCGAAGTGCGAGCAGATTATGAAGGAGCAGCTCGAGGGAGTCCAGCCCGAGCTCCCAACTTGGGCTGACTGGGGGATTCCTCCAAAACTTCCATGTCCTTAATATTTTTTTATTCCCCTGTTGGCTATTTAAAAAAAATAATGGGGATCTAGCACTACTGGAAACAATGTCCATGTCCTGAAGATTTTTGCTTTTGATTCCCCTGTTGGTGTTAAAGGGAGTATATCACTACTGGAAATAGTTTTGTTGTTTTTTTTCAGGGGGCTCAAGCAAATGGAAGAAAATGATGGATCTGCGGTCTCCTTCGTTGGGGCATTGGATCTGCGGTCTCCTTCAAACCAAATTACGTGCGGTCTCCTTCAAAATGAATTATTTGGGGCTTCCTCCAAAATGATGGATCTGCGGTCTCCTTCAAACCAAATTATGTGGGGTCTCCTCCAAAATGATTATTTGATGAACAACTATCCTGCCCGTCCTTTT